ATGATTAAGTTTACTTTTGATACCACCATGATTAAGTTTACTTTTGATACCTCCATGATTTTACCGCCATCATTTCAAAAATAGTGTTCAAATGCACTATTTCCTTCCTACATAATGGTCCTACTTTACTTTTAGAGATTTCCTACTTTTAGAGATTTTGAGTATTGTTAATAAAATTTTTCTTGAAGTGTGCAAAAAAACTTCAAAAGTGATTGATCCAGTGTAATTAAGAATCATCCAGTGTAAAAAAGAAGTACAATGTATTTGTACAAGGAGTGGACAGGGTTTTGTCCTTCTAATGGCTGGCTATTTATATTTGTAGATTAATTTTGGAATGAATATTAGGATGTAAAAATGGCTACTTAGTGATAATCACCATAGTTTTAAAGAACTACTGTAATGTGATCTTTTCAGACCTGGGGTCAATTGCAATTGTAATTATAATTTAATGGTCAATTACAATTACAGTTGTGTAATTGTAATTGAGCTTGAGCTTACGTAATTGAAGTTTCAATTATATTTGATTTAACTAACTACAGAATGTACAGATACACAAAGAAATGTTTTTAATGTACACTAGTGTCTATTGGTTTATTTGATAACTGCAAATCACTACCTGATGTAAATTCTAAGCCACAGTGTAAGCATTGCAATGTATCTTTTTGACATCAAGTTGTAATTGTAATTGAAAATGTAATTGAAATTACACTGTCATGGTGTAACTGTAATTGTAATTGAGCCTCTTCTTGCAAAAGGAGTGTAATTGAATGCGTAAATATAATTGAGCTTTTGTCATTGACCCCTAGTCTGGATCTTTATATCAGTAATTTCAATGATTTTGCCAAAAATATCTGTCACTTTAGCTAACCTCAGGCACTATTCATTTAATTTCTAATTGCACATTTTGAATGAATTATATTCTGGAATGCAGTAGCTGTACTCTGGCAGTTTTGGTATACTTTCTTATGCATCCATGTACCATGGGAACAATAGATTATTCATGCATGTCATTTTAAAACCTCAGTTAATGTTAGTTTTGTAATTCATATTGTATTTTAAATTTTGAGCATTGCATCAAAATTAAGGAACTATACCTTATGTGGTTGCCTTTTTGCCGTCTAGTGAGGGAAGAAAGTTACAAAGAAAATACTGTAGTTTTTGGTAAATTTAATCTGCCAGTAGATTTTAAAAAATTCACCTGATGAACTGGTGATGTCTTTTCGTTCAGAAACAGCTTTTTGTTGATACCAGAAACTTGATGGCTATTAAAATAATGTATTTGCAATTCTGTCTCATATTTGATTACATAACCACTGTTCTTTAAGTGTTAGAAACGTTAAACATTCCCATTAACAAAGAACTGAAACATAAGGTTAAATGTATTGAGTCAACTTAATTGTTTTATTTTTTGTGAATAGTTATGACATTTTTTACAAAAATGTATTCGTCTTTACATTTCTTCTTATCATTTCTGTCTACATACATACATGTATTCTGTGCAGTTTTAAATTTAATCCTAATGCAGTGTTATATGGCAATGATCCTGCATGTGAGAGAGCCCCTAATAGGCTTTCATTTATATACAGTACAGGGCGAAAAAAGATAAGTAGCTACTCTACTGTTGCGTAGGTACAGTTTAGAGAGAAAAAAAGCTAAGTAGCGCAGAGTAGTTCCTACGAACTGCACTTTTCTTCCTACACAGCTCATGCGAATCAAAACGGTAGTAGTAACGAGCAGCTTTGCTTTCTTTACTCCTGTGCTACTCTACTCTACTGATGTGCTGCGCATGCGCTACTCAATACTGCGCATGCGCATTAATTTTCACCAGCCCGGTTACAACTCAGTGGAAACGAGTAGAAATGAGTCTTAGAAAGCTGATAAAAGACACCCAGAAGAAGACAAATTGTAAGTTAAAGACATGTTTAGGAGTCTTGTTACTATTTTAAATGTAGCTTCTTACTTTTTGAAATACTTTAAGCAAGAGGATACTTATTCTATTGTGAAAGCAAACTGTGTAGAAGTTGAGCAGCTGGAAGCTGGTACCTCCTGCAGAGTAAGGGATGGAAAGGACTTTCATGATGGCACAATAGTCACCTTTGGTAACACTGTACTTTAATTTTTAGTCAATAGCTGCACATATAATTTTCTAGGAGATAAGAAAGTTGTAAGTAATGCAGCAGGTGATATTGTTGAGAAGATTGAGAAAGAGTCAGCGGAGAATATGGAGAAAGAGTCAGCCAAGAATATGGAGAAACAGTCAGCTGAGAGTATGAAGAATGAGTCAGACTACAAAGCGTGGCACAATGAAAAGGAAAGCTAAGAAAAGTGAGATGGTATATAGTATTACTAACCCTACATGTAAATTCACATCTACATGTAGGTACCACCGAATAAAGAAACCTAAAATAGAAAAAGGAAAGGAAGGTGAAGGTACATAATGCATTAAAAAGGTAATTTATTATAAAAACACAAAACAGAAATGCACAGTTAATATTGTTGCTGTTGGTTGTGCTACAAATAATGAATCTGCTGCAAATAATGAAGCAACAAGCTTCAACACTGGAGATCCTTCTAAGCATATTAGTATCGGTAAGATTAAATATAATAATAATTATTACTATTGTTTTACTAGTTATTATTAGAAGCAAGAAAACCTTCAGAGAGAAAAGAGGCAGATTCCAGTGAAAGAATTCTTTGTCATAGCCCTCCACCACTTCAGCCACCACTTGCACTGGTGGAGCTTAAAACTCAAGCTGCATGTAGTACAGAAACAGGTGAATTGTTTTACAAGTACCTGTACAAATTTAGTAACATTAATAACATATTACTTGATTATCACAAACAATTAATGTTGTTTTGTTTAGAGGTTATATACTGTCTCTAATTAGAAGAATGGAAATTTTAGAAGAACAGAGTATCATGGTGCCATCCCAATTGGGTTGCTTAACATACCATTTCTTTGGAAATACTAGCCCGGCATGAACACAAGGGTTAGTATTCAGTAATAATTATTAGAGATTAGTAATATCCTATTAATATTCTAGGCAGGTACTCTGCTACATACATGAACAGTAATGGAAGTACTCCTAGTGCCCCATCTGCTTGTAATCTACCTCAGCATACTGATCCAGTAACTCCAACTAATGAGCCAGTAAAGGCAATCATCACCAATACTACTGTGCACACTGGTAATAGAAGGAAAATAGATTTTAATGCTCCTTTGTTGAATCCTGATACTGTGATTAATAAATATCCCAAACTGAAGACACTCTCTCAAGTTGGACAATCATCTGTAATACTAGCTAGCAAAGTTTACTTTGGACCATCACTTTTGATTAAACGTAGTGTGTATAGGCAGGAGAACCCTCCTTTGCCATCTGGTGCTCTAATGGAGCTGAAGCAGAAGCTACTGGGATTATTCCATCCACATGATATTAGTACAAAGGAAGAATTTTAGCTGTATTGGTCTAAGTGTATTCAAGCAATAAATCATTACTCTTCAGGGCTTAGAAGCAAATATCCACTTGATATTAAGAATCTAGAGTAGAAGGCTACACTGAGTATAGTATCATATATGATAATAAATAGTCTAACACAGTGACACTGTTGATATACATGTATATATATTATATATTAGATATAATGATATAAAGATGCAAAAGATATACAATGAATAAAAGATATACTTTGCTTTTAATTATTATAATACATGTGGGAGGGAGAAGGATTGGGAGGGGTATAGAAGAGAGTTATAAGTGCATGCAATCTGTAATGTACAAGTCTGTTAGCATAGATTACATGTATGTGATGTTACATTTATAAGGAAAGAGGAAGATCGAAAGAGCTACTGTGTACATGTACAAATATTAATATCCAGTGGGACCTCCATTATTGCATTCAATCACTTTCGATATTAAGTGTCCGATATATTTTCTACGCTTTCTTCTATCCAGTGGGACCTCCATTATTGCATTCAATCACTTTTTGATATTACTTTACGTACGTGTCCGATATATTTACTACACTTTCTTCTATTTACAGTTTCCCAACAATCCATGATTCCTTTGACTAATTCCTCCTTTTGTTGTGGTTGCACTACTCTCCTGACATATTCTTTGAGCTCTTGCCATAGATTTTCAATCGGATTAAGATCTGGGGATTCTGGTGGTGTTTTCCACCAGTTTATTTTGTTGGCTTCTAACCACTCCTTTACTTTCTTTGAGGAATGTTTGGGATCATTATCCTGCATCAATCTTTGAGATGGATTTAAATGCTGGGTATAAGGAATCAGTCCATTTTCCAAAACTTCAATAAAGCCAGCTGAATTCATTTTTTCTTCAAACAGCACAATTGGCGTCTTTCCTTGGCAACTTATACCTGCCCATGCATGTACCTTATAAGGGTGTTTTGCTCTATATAATAGGTTTTTAAAAAATACCATTAACGTACATGTAATATTAATATAGTGCTACCTTGGTTTTGGTTTCGGGGGCACCTATTTTCCTTCATGAAAATCTCCTGTGGGATTCGAATTCAATTGTACACTCATCACTGTACAGTACATCAGAAAAACCAGTAGTCCTGTGCTCCTGCAACTGATCTTGAGCCAATTTCATTCGCTTCTCTTTATTTGGTCCTCTAATGATCTGGCAGTATGCACTCCCACGGTATGTCCAACCAAGTGTTTTGCGAGACTTCAATATTGTTTTCAGTGACAGTGAATGACCTTTCTCAACGAGAAGCTACTGAAGTTGAGTAGCAGTGCTTTCATCATCAGCTTGCATTTGGTCCTATACAATCTTTAAAACTTCTCTGGTTACTTTTGAAGGTCTTCCAGATCCTATATTGTGAAAATAATGAGAAGTGTAGTGGAATTAATACTGACAAACCTGGCCTTTGAGTAATTGAACCAGTTTCCATGTATTTCTTAATCAGTTTGCTCACACCTGAGACTGACATCCAGTGCTACAGTAAAATTAGTGGTGAATACTTACTCAAAAACTTACAAAAGGAATGTGAAATCCTCTGTTGTTTGTAAGTGCTGTACACCATTGTCACTAGTCCACCAGATAAATGCGCGCATTTTTGCAATTTGAAAGGGGTAGTAAGTACAGGGTTAATATAAGCTTTACATGTACATAAAATATCATTATGTTTTACAATTCAGAACAAAAATAAAAGTCAGAAAAAGAAATGACTACAAACATGCATTGTAACTCCTAGACTTCGTAATAACAGATCACCATTGCACTGTGACAGTCACAGTCTGTCGCTACGGCCCAGTAGAATCACCGTTCCTACATAAGAAGAACCTTACACATAGTAATAAAACCTTTACTTACTGATATCCGGCTACTTTTTAGACCCATATTCTTTGAAACCAGTAGAGTACAAGCGATAGTAAGTGCCGTTTAGTATAAGTAGTAGACGGTAGAGTAGCCTTGGAAGAGTAGTATATAGTAGCTGTGCAGGGTAGCTGTGCAGTGGGCAAGGACTACCCTGCCCACCAGCTACTCTGCGCATGTGCAATACAAGCACAGCACAAGGGTCAATCCTACGCAGTGGAAGGTACTTTACTGCGTGGTGCAATAGTAGTGACGCTGCAGTTACTTAGCTTTTTTTTCTCTAAACTGTAGTTCACTGGTCCTTCGTTGCGCATGTGCAAACCTATCAGTGGCAGTAGTGCACATGGTCAGCCGCAGGACAGTAGCTCAACAGTGAATTGAGCAAAGAGCCTCCTCAACGGCGTTTTATAAGCAGAGAGCAGCAGTAGAGATGAACTTGGAGAGTAAAGACAGCCAAGAGAAGCATCCTCAAGTCCTTTGAGAGCCTCTAGAGTGCATGTGCGCTTGTTACATGGAACATGTGACTGGGCGGTATCAGCAGTACTTCCTGGGCATATTGCAGTGAAGAGTAACGAAGTAAAATTACTACCTACGCACTACCTGTGTACTACTTATCTTTTTTTCGCCTTCTACTGTATATGACATGGAAGAATAAAATATCATTAGTTGCTCTTGCGTGTCAGGGAAAAGTTCCACGTTACTGCAGAGTTACTGTCATAAATGTTTCGATGATGGGCCTCTAGGATTATTCACTGATTAACGAAGATAATTTATCATTACATTAATACCAAGAGTAGATGATAGTTAGAGAGAGTGTCGAAATGCACTATGCTAGCTGGAATATGACCGTGTGAACTTTCTTGCACATCTATGGGCATTCCCGCATACTGGGTGTGGCTGAGTAGAAAAAAATGGCTGCCTAGTTTGCTCAACAAGGTTTACTTGCCATTTTGGAGTCTCTGCAATAGCTGTACTGCATAACAGGCTTCAGCAGGATTATAAAGTTTACTAGTATGATGTCTAAAGCTTCTTCAAGTGTTCTCCACTGTTCCTTATGCAAACTTCTACACGTGCTTTTAGTAGGTACACCCACACATCAGGTCTCACGTGACTTAGTTCTACGTGGTCATATTCCAGCTGGCATAGTGCAGTTTGACACTCTCTCTTACTATCATCTGCTCTTGTTAATACTGAAAAAGTAATGATTATTCTCACAACAAGTGGGCATGTTTGACCTCATGTTTTGAGGAAGTTTTATCTGTCAAGTGTTGTGTTCCGTCACTCCATTCTCTTTGTTATAGATTCATACGGAAGAACCAGTACCTTCTGAGGAAGAGGACAATGTTCTTGGTGCCACTGAAGATGAAAAACCCACTCCAGGTGAACCTGATTGCACATTTACACTCGATACTCCTTGCAAGAGTAATTTGCACATAGATGCTTCCAGTAATTGCATGGTTGTCACAGAGACTACACAGTTGGTCAAATTTGTGGAACAATATTCAATTTGCCAGGAGACCAATTGTCAAGGTAAACTGAAAGTAAACTCGATAGAACTGGCTGGCCTGGGGGGAGCAGCATCACTCTCTTTTGGCTGTACTAACTGTGGTAGCTGCAATGTCAAATTTGAAACCTCATCTCAGAGGGAGAATGGTGATGCTGCTGTATCTAAGATTTTACAAGTTGCTACAATTTGTTCTGGAGCATCTTATGCCATATATAAGAAAATGTTTCACCACATCCTTGGAATGCATACAGTCAGCGACAGTGTTTTTTTTGGGACACTAAAAGAGATGTATGACCATGTGAAGGACATTTTAGATGGCATTTGCTTGGAAGCCAGAAAGGAAATGCAAGATA